TCCAAGTTCACCACTAGGAGAGTCCAACTCAAAGTAGGAACTGTTTGAGTAGTAACAGTCTCCAATTACTTTATCTCATCTCCAGAATAGTACCCCTCTTCGGAAATCAGGAACTCATCCACTGTAAAGAAAAGACGTAACCCTCCCAAATCCGACACATTTCAGGGTATAGGAATGCAAAGCTCAAGGTCAATGTCTGATGCGTGTTGGATAAACAGATAGAAGGTCGAACGGACAGCACAGCGACGACGTCGCCATGGGGCGTGGTCTAGCGGCAATCAGTGCCTGAATCCGGGAGTCTCGCGCCGAGGTAATTTGATAATGGGCAGCACATCGTCGTGTTGTGTATGTAAGCTCATGTGTCTGTGCATGGGTGTGGGAGGACGTCCACCCATCCACCCTTGCATTCATCTATGATGCGTAGCTGTGACGGTTTTTGGCAGCGATGCCATGCTGGAGCTTCTCCGCAACTTTCTGCCATTCACATGCTCAGCTTGACTTTGGGACATTAAGATGATTTTCTGTGGGGAGATAGGAAGCACTAATTGCAACTTGGCTTCTTGGCATTGATTCTCACCCATAAAGAAAGAGAATAAAGAAGTCCGGGTATGGCCAGGAAGATGAAATGCTCATGAGAAATGGAAGTTACTCGAAAATGGTAGGAGCAACTGAAGGGTATACTAGTAAGAGAGGAGTCTCTAAAAGAACAATAGAAGCCAGAGTAACAGCTAGCTGGGCGACCTGTGGTTGGGCAGAGTTCAAGCCTGTAACGTAATACTCAACAACAAGTCTGGAGAGCTTTCTATTTTAGGAGCATCCCGATAAAGATGCTAACCTAATCGGAACTGACTGAGAGCAATAAAAGAAGACTAGGAGGGTGAAGTGATATGAAAGAATGAGGAAACCTTTTTAGGACTGAATAACGGCTGTACATGGTCAACTACACATGTGCTAGGGCTATTTAGAGCACTAAGCCGGTCCGATGTTTCAAGTTCAATGCACCAGTTGAAAGTGACAGGAGTGACAACCGATGTTAATGAAGGTATGTCGTCTTGAGCAACACCTACCCAGGCAAGAGCCCAACCACACTAGGCCACATACAAAACTGCGAGAACTACTGTATGTATGCCATTCCCTCGAGAGGACGAAGCCAGCAGAGTCGAAGTTTTCCGTTAGAAGGCTTGGTTGTCTTTCTGAAGTTACAGAAATCTTCAAAGGGTCCAGTGACCCGGAAGGAACGTGCTACAAACAGAAGATCGATTAGACGGAGCTTGAAATTGATGACTACAATAAAAACAATGGGTAATAATAAGTAAATAAACAATAATAATAATCAATAGCAGTGCTGGTCTGAGGAATAGGATTTTCTGCTGATAACTGGGCCAGCGACTACCTGCGTTTGCAAACAAGAGGATATTCCAGGCTAGAGGCAACGTAAGTAACTCCTCGTGGGAAGAAGTGGTTTTTTCTAATAATTTTTCACCTTTTCACGGTTACACTTGATGGATTGTTCGGAGCCGAACGTCCACGCTGATCTTTGCTACCATTTTTGTAAAGAATACAAGATAAAATGAATTCGAGGTTTAACATTGGCCAATCCGATTTTGAGGCGCCATCGCATTCCCCTTCCATCAAGAAGGGCAAAAAAGCGTGAATGCGCTTATTTCCCACGATGAATTGTTAAGGTCATCGGTACTGGAGTCAGTATTCCCAGCCCATCAGATGGAAGTGGTACCGATCTTGGCTGAGCGGCACAAATCTCAATCTGGGAGGGATCCTCGGGCTGCTGATCTCAGGACAGCACCACTGTCACAGCCCGTGTGAGTTTAGAAAAGTGAACCAAATTTTTGCGCGAAATGTGAAGCCACAGAGATTCACCCAGACTTTTTTCTATAATAAAAAGAAAAAGTCATGGAAAAGCAGTTACAAACTGGATTAGGAAGTAGGGATCCCAGACAAGAATTCGTCCTCGCGTCTGAGAATTCACTTGGGTTAGAAGACGTAACGACGTGTCAAAAATTATGGACCGATGGGGCGGAGAAATATGAAAACTGCCCTTTGATGGTGCCAATAAGCTGACGAAATTAAAGGACAGTGTACTTTGGTGTTTGCAGCGAATGGAATCTCAACAAAGGACGGAGCTCAGTTTTGGTTGAAACCCTTTAGTCGCTTAGATTTCAACCACAAAAGAAGTAACTGCTGAATGTCTACCTATCCTCCGAAAGTTTCTGGACTAGGAATGGTTAGGATCAGAAGATTGCCATTGGAAGCATCCACCTCCGCACTGTTTACAGCTAGAGAGACAAAAAAAANNNAAAAAAAATAGAAAAATCAGGCTAAAATAAAAGCCATATTCATGATTTTGACCTGGATCGATCCCACTTCAGAGGTGCTCAAGCTCTCTAGATCCTTTCAGAATCAAGTTACTCACGAATGCGCATGAGGCCCAGGTATTGGGCTTTAGGATCTTAGGGGTCAGTCAAGTTACAACTCAATGCTTACAGCTTCCTTAGGAGGTCCTGTACCTCGTCCCGACAGTTGAGCGTACAAAGCCTTTTTCAGGTATTAGTCTGAAAAGGTTTAGGAACAACGGAAGACACTAACCAGTTAGTTACCCACGTTGTAGAATGAAATTCAAGATAGGGGTGGAAGTTGTACCATTGAAAGCCAATCTTATTCTCAGGTGACTTACATCATGCAACGATGTTCTCAGACTCAACCTGTGAGGGTTTTTGAGAATAACGAAAGGTGTTAGAGCTATAAAGATCTGGATTTTACCGTTGAGCGATAATTCGTCACCCTTTACGCCACTACCGAAAAGTAGTTTCCCAACTGTCGTTACTGAGAAAATACGAAGAGGTCAAATCTTCCTTTCATGAAGTCAGCAAGTCAACCTATAGATTGTCAAGGAGGCAGTCAAATGTATGCTCAGAAAATGTATGTTTTTGTTAATCTCAATTTTACTTTTAGGACATCCCTCGTTCTAGTTGTACCTTTAGCCTTTGAAAAAGCAGGCGTATATGGCCCTAGATGGGTGTTATAAAAGGTTGAGGTCGTAGTCCTCTGAGAATGCTTTCTGAGTATCTGGTGAAGGAAATCGTATGAGTTCCACTCAAAATATAGAGCCCACAACAAACGAACGTTCAAAGAAAACTGGAAATGGCCACCTATATAAAACCACCGACAATGTGGCCAGATGAAAGAAAACCTCTATTACCGGAAGGGTTGATTTGACTGCCAACAAACAACGACAACAATGGGTGGGGCACAGCATACCGCCCCGCTTGAACGGGAGAAAGAAGTCAGGAGTAAGCTAGCAAAAAACCCTCTCCAGCTCGTAATGGAAACATAGATCACCGGCCTCTGTATGAGGTTATAGGAACGCCTGTAGAAGAAAAGACGCTGGAAAGAAGTGTTAGACAAGAAGATTCCGCTTGAACTTTTCCGTTTCCTAAACAGCAAGGTATCACACTGACTAGAAATGGTACAAATTAATCTGGAGTGTGGTGCAGTTGAATCGAAAAGGCCGTTTGGCGGCGAGAGGGACATCGCGAAGGATTATAGAAGAATGAAGCAGAAGCAGCGCAGCGATTAAGGTACATAGGAGCAGAAGAAGTAACAGAAGAGTCACTCCATAAATAAAAATCGCATATCGATCGAGCTGTATGAAGAACTGTAGAACTGCAATAGTGAGGTAACTAGTCCGCGACTGTCGCGTGCGGCGAATCCGTTACGCAAAACCGATTCAATTGCCGATTTTCCGAGCACTGGTCCATCAACCTCTCGATATGCCACATGATAGTAGAAGTCGAACTCGTGGCGTATCCAGGACCTCTGACCTTTCTATTTATTCATCATTTTTCCACTTTGTTCACAGTTTTCATATCCATTACATAGAAGTGCCCGAAGGTCACCAGCACCTCTTTCTTTCGTTATATTTCTTCGACTCTTCTTTATTCCTCAGTTCTCTGCTGCAGTTTCCTACCATCTTGAAGGGTACCTCCTAGATCGACTCTGAGAAGATGCAATTTCTCAGAAACAAATGGAATCGATGGAATTGAATGGTCAGAGCAGTACTTTGAATGCTACTTTCTTCTGCCCGTATATGCCGCAGAAGTCGGGAGTTGGTCAGAACGTAATAACAAGAAGCATTCAAGGTGTAGGCCCAGAAAAAAGCACTCGCCAGCTGGCGTCTGGGCGTTTTTTCTGATCCTTTACAACATTTGCTTCTGGGTTTAGTCATATTTCGCAGTCGTTACGTATATGTATTTGAATAAATGGCCTGAAATCCTCGCAGGTAGGAGTTTCTGAAGGAGTAGTTATTCAAGCATGGCTTCAGCTCTAAATCAATCTCATTTTGTCTCCAAAAACTGAGTCCCATTCACTTACACACACCAAAAGTCAGTAAATTGAAGACCTATCAAGTGGCATGAATCTATCTTGAAATGAGACAGATAGGGCATGAAAGAGTCCAAAAAGATAGTACACCGGGAAGCTTCCGAAGAAGACCTCGAGAAGCGTCTCTCCATCTTACAGAGGACCTTTTGACCCAACTTACCGAGAACCTTTGACCCCAAAGCGAAAAAGATATCCGTCTGCTTAGAAACTTATTGCTAAATTACTGTATCGCTTCTTATTGTATTCAGTTCAGAATAATAAAAAACACTATTCATTTGTCTAAAAATTTATATACTATAAAACTGGTAGTGGCAGGGCCTCCGCCTGGTTATTGCCCTGTGTAATGTGATGATAAAGTCTCAAGCAACGATAATTAAAAAACCTCGTAACAACGAAAACAAACCTCAAGCGGCTGTTTGAGCTTAACACAAGCCTCTTCATCTGCAACTGTTTCAGGTAATCAATAATCGATAGGACGCTACAAGACAGGTCGGAACCTCGTTCCCGTAGAAAGCTCCTTTTACTGGTGACTTACCTTCGAGTTTAAGATTCTAGTTCAGAGAAATAAAAAGAAAATCGATACTTATAAATAGCAAAGTTCCCTATTCATGTACACGGCTCAAACTGAGGGATTCTCTCGTTTTCTTACCGATATCGACATCGTCATCGTCTTGATAGCGATCGTCAATACATGACTCTGGCTCCGAAGTGTTCGAAGCGACACTCGGTGATGTCCGTCCAGAATGGCCTCCGGGTACCCGTAAGTAGCTGTTCTGGCCACCAAAAGGATCCAGTCGATCATTGAGACCTAAACGTCACTTGATTAGTGGCCAGGCACAAAAATCACACCATGCCTAATCCCTTTTTCCTAAGTACCTTTCTGTAATTTATCTTTCTCCTTTATCTCTCTTTCCTTTTTATCTCTCTCTCTTTCATATGACTAGTTACATTTTTGTGGTGAAGCCATCCACTCTCGAAAGTAACATGCAATCATTTGGGTTATATCAAACAACATTTCAGCAGAAGTCCTTCGACACACCGAGAAGAACGTCCCCTAGGAGAAATAGGAATGTACGTAACTAAGGCCTCTGAGGGGAATGAACTGCTGCTTGGAGTTGCTATGAATTATATTGTACGCATGGAAGAATCAATTCTCTCGAAGAAAAAACATCAAAAGTGCATTGTAAGTGTAGTTTGGAAGCGTGAACGTGCCGTAGTCAAAACATTCAAAGGCACGTTTACGGTGAAAATGGTTTCTGGATTTTCTTATAGTGTGAATTCGAGGCTCTCCTTTATACCATACCAACCGTTATAAGCTCGAAAAACGTCATGGATAGGGCAGAATAATGAGCCAGAGATTGTATCGTGTGAATGTCATACTCAAAGTGGACAAATTTCAGCGGCATTGTAGAGGCTCCACCATCTCAAGAAACTACAATGTAGGAAGTTCAGACAACTTGTGATAACCCATAGCGACAGTGGAAAGGTAGTTTCGGATCGCATCGGTTTGATGTAGTTATCTCTTTGAGGCAACGGGTGCAAGTTCAATCTCGTCCAAGCACCCCTTACATGCCATCATCGTCACGATGATCTATACAACCTCCACTTCCACTATTTTTGAAGAGCCTTGATGTAGACGGATTTTCTCGCTTTCTTCGTCACGGATGCACTTCCCTAAATCAACACTTTCGCTTTTCACCCTAAAAAGGGCACCTCAAAATTATAGTGAACTGTGCCTTTAACTTGAAGAAATCAAATCTGTCGCTGACGTAACAAAATGATTCTGAACATTCTCTACTTTCTCGATCCTCCACTCTATCAAAACATAAGCGTTTCTAACTGATACTACATAGAATTAGGACGCTCGAGAGTACCAGATTTTCTTTCTCGAGAAGTTTTAGAGTTAGCGAGAAGCTCTACCCATGTCCACTCGATAAGTCTACCAGCCTATGAGGCTGGTTGACTTATCGAGTGAGCATGGGGTATAAACTTGAAAAAAAACGAAGAAATTATTTATTATTGAAATCAAACGCTAGATTCTTAGAATATTTTACTCGCAATTCGATTATAGATTAATACTACCATCAAAAAAATTGAAATTTGAAATTAAGAACATAATTTATTTGTAAAATGTCGGGGTTAAAAAAATTGGCATAGAGCCAATAAATAACGTTGAGTTCCCATCATTATGGTCTCATATACCTAGTGAACGAGAATTTCAGCAGCGATACCCTTCAATAGAAACAAGGAGATCATAATAATAATGAAATAGAAACGAAAGTAATTAAACAAATAATCTAAATGATGGAAACGATGGGTTAATTTGGACGAGTTTACGGTATATGTTCATATCGATGCAGTGCAGTGGTCAATGGTGAATAGATCCGATCACAATGCTGAAAATGAAAATTGATGGTGAAAATGTAGTTGG